AAGTGAACGAGCGGTTATTACTGAAGCATAAAATTGCTTATCCCACTTCAGGGAATAACCGTCAAACTCCACAAGCTAGGTGGATTACTCCTCTCGCTTCTTTTGCCAAAATCAATGTCAACGTTGCTTGGCATCAGGGCTCTTGTCTTGCAGGGGCTGGCATTATTATCAGAACTCTGAAGGGAGTTTTAGGGGGAAAAATCTGTCTCTTTCCATGCGGAGACTGCATTGGATGCAGAGGCAGTTGCTATTTTGGAGGGATGCAAATTTGCAAGAGAATGAAATTTCACTAAGGTATGCTTTGAGTCTGACTCTTTAGAGCTAATTGTGTGTCAAAAGGAATATTGGTAGAGGGAGATGGAACCTTCATCCTGTCTTTACCCTCATTCGTGAGGAACAACAGGGATTTGAGGGGTGTTCATGGAATTGGACTAATAGGATTGGCAATCAAGCGGCAAACAATCTTGCGTCGTTGGCACTATGAAGGAGGAGTAAGGAAGTTTGGGTTGAGAGACCCCCCACTTCTCTTGTGCACATTCTAAGCAAGGACGACCTTCCCTACCCTAATCTCTCCTAAGTGGGTTGCGACTGGTCTAGATATTGTTTTAGACGTCCTTGCTTTTGGATTGTCTGTCATGTTTTTTTCATCTTGATGAATTTAGTTTGTGGCATGGTATCTTTGTTTCATGCGTTTCTGTTTGCATGGGCTGCTTTATTATTGATTGGACTGGTCTCCCTTTCTTCAGTAATGAAATCATCATCTTTCTTCGACCAAAAAAAAAATTTATAGGGGAAACTCAAATAAATTAATTTACAAGTCGGCCACCTCGGTTCGGAGCCGAGCCGTTTGCTTCACATCAAATCTATCAGATGCTCGGTGGTCGGAGTTCGTCCACGTCCTCTGCTCATGATGACCCTGCTATACTTCAACTAGGGGGCGGGCGTGGGCAGAGTAGCCTGTTGCGCATGGCGGCAATCCCATATGATGAGTTGGCGAATTGGGCGGTTCACACCTGGCTTTTGAAGGGATGTGGGCACGCTTGATGAGGTAAGGCGAGTCGGCGGCCAGAGGGGGTCTTGTCATCGACGTGGCTGATTTTCATCCTCTTGAATTTCCGAAGGTAGCTCAGAGTCCGAGGCTGAGGGAGATTTGCTCGTTTTTGTCGGTGCGGTGCACAAGGCCCATGTGTCGTGTTTTTATTGGGCAAACCAGCTCGGTGCATGCCGACTGTCAACAGCATGCATATAAGGATTCCATATACTTTTTGGCTAAACAATCTTGGCATATAATGTATTATATGCAATCCTAATGCATGTGTGGATCGTATTTCCCAAACGATAGCTTTATGGAAGGTTATGAGGGGTTTCGGGCTTCTTGGCCAGGTCTACCCTTGTTGATTTTAGGCCCCGCTATCTAAATTATTTACTTAATGGACAATGGCGGATCTAAAATTTTAATTTTATAGGGACGAAATTATATGACAACAATTGAGAAAAACAAAATTTTAGGATATAACTATAACTCAAACATAAAAATACAAAGTAAAGCAAACCTTAATTACAAATGGAACCTCCAAGAAAATAAGTTCAAAACAATTTATACGCACACAAATATATAAAATAAAATAAAAAGAACGAAAATTATAGACATTACCAAGATTACATATACAAAACGTGAAAAACGGAAAAAAAAAAAAAATACAAGTGGGGCTAATAAGATTATATTTAATAAAAGTGAAAAAGAAAAGAAAAGAAAATACAAGTGGGGCCTCAGTAAAACATGCTTTATACTTAGGCATTGCGAAAATTTTCTCTTAGTCCTCTAGAGGCAGACCAATTCTAAAACCAATGTATCACTACACTCGTGTGATTGTCGTTTAATGCCAAACTCATTTTTTCGTTAAACATAAAATGTATATATATATTTTTTTGGGTCAAAGGCATACGATGTACATTGAGCGTTGGTATAAACATGACAAGTACTATTCTACTAGATCTACTGCTTTCATGTTTATGATATTAGCTGATATCTTATTGGATGTTGTATTAGTTTATTAGAATTAATTAAGATATTGGAGGATGCTAAAACGTCGGGAGTATATGTTGGGGTTGCTGACCTTTAGGATGATCGCCAACATTCTCCGCAATCATTCTAATCCATTTATAAGGATGATCATAGAGTGAAGTTAGCAAAGCTAAATGAATCAAAGGATATTAATACCAGTGGGGGCTTCTCACCATGGTTGCAGGTGGGACTTGGTTCAACAACTGATGTTGGAGCTGAACCATAATTTCATGTCAAGGAAAGTGAGATTTTCTCAGCTTTCTCTATTTCCTTTATCTCAAAGATTTTTTTATATGTACCAAGAAAAACTGTAATTATATAACAAAACAGTTCATATAGTTCAAGATTCTTTTTAAAATTTAAATTTTCCTTTTGAATTGTTAAATGTACATTATAGTGGGTGGGTCAATTTAATTTAGTCCCAATCTCATTTCATGCATATGCATGGCATTTATACTTCTAATAAAACATTGTAATTTTCTATATAGTTTTTCTTGTTGAAAAATTATTTGATAAAGAAAAAGGCTCCAAAACTACTGTCATGATATGTAGGAAGAATTCATTAGTGTCACCACCACACACACAAACTTTGTGAAATTAGGAATCTTGGGTTCCTAAGGAGACCTCTATGTAATCTGCTTTAGAATTCTCAAAAAAAAAAACTTGGACTTTAAGAACAGAAACCATACCTTATGAAGAGATTCAAATGTCTAAAGCCAACTAATAGGGTTAAGAATGTCATTTGGCCTAATTCGAATATAAACTAGCAGCAAACTAATGAATAAAAATTAATAAAACATTGTAATTTTCTATATAGTTTTTCTTGTTGAAAAATTATTTGATAAAGAAAAAGGCTCCAAAACTACTGTCATGATATGTAGGAAGAATTCATTAGTGTCACCACCACACACACAAACTTTGTGAAATTAGGAATCTTGGGTTCCTAAGGAGACCTCTATGTAATCTGCTTTAGAATTCTCAAAAAAAAAAACTTGGACTTTAAGAACAGAAACCATACCTTATGAAGAGATTCAAATGTCTAAAGCCAACTAATAGGGTTAAGAATGTCATTTGGCCTAATTCGAATATAAACTAGCAGCAAACTAATGAATAAAAATTGGCCCAAGGTTAGTAAAATCCATGTTACCGTTCCAAGGTTTGAAAATAACCTAGGCCAGAGGAGGTTTGCTTGGCCGCATGATTGCTTGTTTAGTAGTCAGAAACGCCCTTCTTAGCCCGAAAAGGGTAACACACAATACGAAACCAAGAATATATCATGTTATGCTTTTGAAGATCACTGAGTGTAGTCTGATGCCTTACATCCAGAGTAGTCTGATTCCACCAGGTATTGCTTTTCAAGAAGAGCATGGTATGCTGCTTGGAATTGGAACAACAAGTTTCATCTTTGCTTTCTTAGGTTCTTCCATCTCACAAACAGAGACATTGCCAGAAGCGTTCACTGCATAAAATTGTCCCTTATGATAAGTTAAATCAGAATAAATATGATATGGTCTTCCCAATGCATCATCCGCTATGGTCCATTCGTGGTTTCCTGGTCTCCAAAACCCAAATTTGCCCCAACTATGAATCATGACAATATAATCTGATGTGAAAGAAGGGCTTGATGATAAGACGAATTTCCTTACAATGAATTTGCCCAACACTAATGCTATATTTCTTAGTAGACCTAGATGTGTATGATGAGATTATTTAAATATCTCAAGATCCGGAAGCTCAACATGGGCATGATTTAAAGGATGCAATAGATTGAATTTTGAATCGTTATCAGACTGAGTAATTAGCCATCCTAGGGAAGAATAACACAGCTTTTCCTTAGCTAATGGTGGCAGATTAAGTTTGTGAATCTTGCCTTTTTCAGGTTGTAGAACTCTCAGATTGTGGCGCCCTCCCTTTCTGGAAGCATAAGCAATGGAACTTGATGTGATGTTCTAGTAAAGTTTTCCTTGATCGTGACTGATTTCCATGATCTACAAACTGTACCAAAAACAGTAAAATCCTCCAAGACAAACAGAAGTTTGGCAATGGACACAAGAAGATCGTGAGGAAGATTCGACCATTGAGCCATCAAGATAATAATAATCAACTCAAATATCAATTAATTTCTAAAAGAGGACACAAAAATCTGAGAGGGCAGAAGGGTAAAGACTGAAACCAAATAAATAGTGTATTTATTTGTAAAGTAAATTTAGGTTTCAGTCACAAAAATAAATAATGGTATTTTTTGTCTATTTTGACTTCTTTTAAAAATATTTCTCTTTCATTTGGTCTTTTCCAAAGTGTCCCTTCTATGAAAAAACTATGTGTCAAATCAAGTATAGCCGCGCGGCTATAACATTTATTATTTTAAAAAAAAAAGAGTTTCCGTCCAGCGGCTGGGTGCCATGTGGAAAAAGCATAGCTGCATGGCTATACTATTTTGAAAGATTAAAATTAAGAAACACAGAGTATAGCCGGGCGGCCGCACTATATTTTTAATTTTAATTTTTTTTCGAAAAAAGGACTCCCTAGCTGTTGAAGGAAAAAACTATTTGAGTCCAAGTAATACATGAGTAGTTGTATTTTGAAAGGGGAAAATTTAAGTTTAGTCCTTTATGGATGGAGATGACCTAACCTAAACAGTTTTAAGGCTTTCAAATTAACCATGTTTTATCAGATAATTCAAACTCGTAAGGTACACAATTTATTAAATGTAAATAAATGTAAATAACTTATGCAACTCCGAAAGTAAGAGCAAGTAATTTGATTGGAGGGGTTGAGAATCGATACAATTTAACAACAAAAGGATCGATAGACATTATTATTGAAGGTGATTCTTAGGTGTCAATCAAGCTTATGCAAGACATATGCATCATCACAAAATAGCCACTGTCACACTGCGAGTACAATAGAAAAACCACCTAATATTGGCAGTACATTTGACAGGGTGAAAAGTTCCATCTTAATATCAAAATACTAAGCTGTGCTTTTACAGAAACGATGGTACAATGTGTAAGGGGTGGAAATAAACAAGTCAAACTCAACGTTCAAAGATGCCACCTCCTTCATTATTATCTAAGTTTCTGCTAAGAAATTTTATATTTAGGAGGTTACAGTGCTGCAATGCACTCAATTTCAATCTTGGCATCCAACGGCAATGCCGCTACCTGAAATGTTGAACGAGCTGGGGCTGGTGACGGAAAATCTGCAAAACAAAACCATGTAAGACAAGTTGAATGAATAAGTACAATGGTTGTCACCAGCATGTTTCACATAACTTTATAATGAAAGACTCAAAGACCGGTTGAGCAAAATAAAGGATTGTGTCACCACCAACCAACAGTCATGCTTCAAGTGTTCTAGACTATAAATTAGACAGAGTAATCATGTGCAAACTTTAGCATGTATTTTAATCGTAGATATGCAAAGGAGGAGATTTGCTATATAACATCCAAAATTGGAGTGTTAAAGTCAATTGCATTCTATCCAAGTCTCTTTTTTGTAAGACGTAATGGAAGTCCTATGAATACCAAGATACCCCTATAGTTTTGGCAGATAGATGAAACATGACCTGCAAAGTTGGAAGACCTTTTGCTATATGCATATTTTGCATGCCACAAATTAAAAATTCAATCTTCGGCATCAAAGTTATATCTCCATAAAACTCACATTTAGCATAGATCTCATTGACTTTCTTGAAGTCTTTCAAGTCAGCCAACCTGCATGAACATAAGAAAGAACAAATTGCATCTCCAACAATAAAATTAAAAATCAAAATTGAGCAAAGACAAAATGGATCCATACAGAATTGTTGTTTTAACCACAGAAGAATAGTTGGCGCCACTTGCTTTCAGTATTTCCCCCATATTTTTTAGAACCTGCAATAGTTTCATAAGCCCAAATCTGTCAGAAACAGTCAGACAACCAATGCCATCATCAATACTCCATGGCAAAGATGATGAAACAAAAGAACATAACTAACTACCTCGCTTATGAGTTCATAACGCAACAGGTTAACTTAAATAGAAATTGGGATAAGAAATGTAACTTCTCCTTCATGAAGGTTTGTGAAAAACATTAGTATAAGCTTTGGTTGCAATGTTGCACAGAAAAACAAATATCAAATTTTTATTTTTTTGAACTTCTGAACAATTGAGATAGTAACTGTTATAAATTCAGCAGAGATACCAAGTGGATTGATCAGTAATGTAAGATCCCACAACCACCAAATTCTCCAACTTTCACTTCTAGATCATCAGAAAGTTAATTGGTTTAAATGTTACAGCTAGACCCTTGAGCAGTAAAAACCATCAAGGAACATATCACCAACCGAATCCATAAAAATATTTAAATGAAAGCACAAAACAGATTTATGATCACATCAAATCCAATCAAAATAAAAAAAACACCTATACCTAATACATCAGAACATAGTAAGACATGAACAAGCCAGTAACAATACCTGCTCTGTCTGATCTTCAACATTCTCAGATATGAACTTCCCAGTCTGCATTTGAACACAAAACATAAGTTTTTATCTGATGTATGTGGGTACGAGGATGGGAACATTGATGGATTAAAGAGACGAGGAAAAACATAACGTCATGAAACAAACCTCGGGAATCAGACCAAGAACACCAGACACATGGACAAAGTTGTTGGCTTTGATGGCCTGAGAATAGGGTCCCAATGCAGCTGGGGCCTTGTCTGTGTGAACAGCTTCCTTGATTCCTAAAATCGAACCAAACAAAACTTACCCATGTTAAATTCATAGGCAAAGTTTGAATCTTTTATCTAAAATTCATCAAAAGGAAATTCCATAAGCGAGAACCAGCTTATACAACCAAACAAAGGAACAGCCTAAGCCGGCTTTCTAATCCAAGCAACCAAACGAAATGAGAAAACTAATTAGTAAACGAAAATCAAAAGAGAGAAAATGTCAAAAACAAATGGAGATTACGAGCGTCAGTGGAAATGGCTAAGCAAGCGAAGCGCGAAGAGGGCTTCGATGAAGCCGAGGATCGCCAAAAAGTGGAGCCAGCCGCCGAAGCAAAGCCCACGCCCACGGCTAACGGAGCCCGGGTGCGCAATGCGCCCAAGTCGATTGTCGGCAAGTGTAAGCTCCTCGCAGCACACCAAGCCATCGCTATGTCTCTCTGTTGCTCGCTCTGTGTCGTCTCACTTGGTCTCTGCTGACTTCTTGTGACTGCCGATGGTTGGTCAATGGTGCGACTCAGTCACTCGCATATATGTTCTTGCTTTTTTGGGTCTGTTCTATACTGAATCTCTATTTTCTCTGGGCTTTTTCGTCATTTGTATTATTGGGCTTTAGTTTTGGGCCAACTGTGCAGAAAATCAATTTTGTATTGCACTTATAGCATCTTATTGGAACTTAAAATGTTCTTAGGTTTGTTGTGTATAGACATGGACTTAGCCAAGATGGTTAGAGCGGATGTACTTCTTATTCTGCATCTCATTCCCGTAGTTTAGATTAATATCGCAAGTGTCATAATTACGTCTTTTGAATTCCTAAGGAGCCGTTTGTTACACATACTTGGTTGAGACTAAATTTAGCACTATGTTTGTTTTATCTAATCCTAGTCTTAGATGAGATTGCTAAACTCATGTAGAAATGAAGAATTAACTAGTCCATGCTCACAAATGTATAAGATGCATATATTATATTGTAATAATAATAATAACATATATTACTATTAATATTATAATAAATATTAATATTATAATAATAGCATACATGTATATATGTAATATATATTGTATATTATAATACATTGATATATATATACATATATGTGATACACATATATTATATCCATGTATGTATTATAATATAATATACACACGTATATACACATATACATTATAAATGTATAATATATGTAAATATATATATTATAATATACATACACGTATATACATGCATATTATTATTATAACATACCCATAATATGCATATATATATAATATTATAATATACATATATACATGTATATGCACATATATGTTGTATATATTATATATACATATATACATGTACATAATATATGCATTTATACATGTATAAATATATACAGATATTTTTGGAAAAATAAAAAAATCTAGTCCTAGTCCAAGCATACACCAAACGCAGGATAAGTGTTATTCAACTTAAACCAAGCCAAGTAAAGACAGTCTCTAAGCATAGTTCATGCCAAGATAATCTTATGTAACAAACAAGCCCTAAGTGTACTAACGTTGCTATTTCCAAATAGAAATATGAAAAATTGTATTGAAAATGTGTTTAGTATGTAATTGTGTTTTTATTATAGGCAAATGTATTAGGAATGAAGAATCATTCATGCATGTATGTATGATAACAAAAATATTCACTAAGGTAATATACATGTATAAAATTTGTGCGCTTTAATTAGCATTACAAAATAATTAACTACTTGCTCTTGCAATTTTAAGAGTTGAAGTCAATAATTAAATTGCAATTTTTCAAGAGAAATTCGGAATCTAACTCTCCATAATTCATATGGTTTAGTAAACAACTTCAATAGGAATCCGGAATCTAATTCTCCTCAATCCAACTCCTCCTCAATTCAATTCCTCCTAATCCAATTATGGATTAATAAACATGCCATTAGAGTTTAAACGTTTTCAGTATGGACACGTGTTCTGCACATAGGGCAAGAAGATTGTTGCTTTAGCCATTGGTCTATGCAGGCCATGTGAAAGAAATGCCTACAGGTGGGAAGTTCTCTTGCACACTCTCCCTCCTTCAGTTCCTGCAAATATAAACATCAAAAATCAAATTGTGAGTAAATAGTGATAACTCATAACCCAACATTTGGTTAATCCTACGCCATATAGAAAAGGAGGAAAATTATTTGCCCGAAATTATTCTATGTTTTTTTAAATACGTTGAAAGGTATCAAACCATTGACGTATTCTAATTCTAACTTGTTTTTGTACCTTTCAAAAACATTGTATACACTTTAGCAAGTGGAGCAAAAATTTCAAAAAAGGTCACATTGCGTGTCTTACACATAAAATATTTTGAGAGTGTGCAAAGAAGACACAATTTTTTGTAATCTATATGCTCTATGCTATTGTGAGCTCCCAATCCCTTTTATTTTACATGCGAGACAACCAATGTGAAAAGGAACTGTGAGCTCACAATTTAATGGAAAGGTACAACAACTTTTCAAACATTTTGGATCCTAATTTAGGTTGCAATTAATAATAATAATAATATATATATATACTATATGTATTTTGCCCCACCTGCAAGCAAATTGAGCAGCAAAAGTCATTGCAAGATTCAATCATATTGCTAGAACGAAATGTACTTCGAGGGAGCCTTTGAATGCATTCGTGGGATAAGCCCTTGGCTCCAGCAATGTCATAAATTTCAGAAATGTCTCCATAAGTTGTTTCCAGATTGCTAACCTGCTCAACAAATTTGGCATTGTAACTCAAATTAATTACCATATAGAAAAGAAAAAAGCAACTACTCATTGCATTGCTGGTCTATGAAGGGAAACACTTACTTGCCAGTGATAGGCTTTTAGCACTGCAAAACTTACCCATTCCATAAACACCTTCCCATTTACCATACCCCCCAAGAGAGCAACCTACAAAAGAAAAAGTTATTATAAAATCCAACACGAAGACGGAATCTTAAATATCCAAGTAAAGCAGGAAAACGAGAGTCAGAACTCTGTCATATGTGTGGTTAAGTGCTCTTCCACTAGAACTACAAACCTCAAGACGAAAACTCATGATTCATTGTTACGTTGTGGTTCATTGGCTTATGCATATTATAAGCACAAAATGAAAACTTACACAAGGCATTATACCTTAGATAATGATTGGCCATCAACTCCCAAATCCATCAACTGAATGGCTGCAATTGCCCCTGCCAGACAACCTATTCCGGCTCCAGTAACCAACCCGGTCTCCGTCGTCTGGCCTGTGACGGCTCCATGAATTGCTCCCATTATAGCCCCTCCTACAAAACCCACAACTGTTTACAGGTGACTGTGTGTTCTCAATAAATTGGCTAAATTTGCTGCCACCCCTTCAAAACTGAGACACAGAAGAAAACCAATGAAATGAAGGGTTATAAACATACCTACTGCAAGAATGCAGGTAAATGCAGTAAAAACAACTCTGTTTATAACACTTATCAAAGCCCCACCTCTTGAACCATCGCCAATTGCAGCCAAAACCCACAAAGAAACAATCTCTTTAGACATGAATGTGGCTTTCAACAAGCCTGAAAACCATCCCTTCATCATAGAAGAAATGGGCAAGCCAGACATGGTGTTTTTGAGTGGGAAGTGGGAGAACACACTCAAAAGATGAGGCTTTAAACGGTATTGCTTTTGGGAGTGAAGTAAGCAACCAAAGGATGAGTATTTAAAGCGTAAGGAGGTGAAGGGCTAGGCATTTAAGAGAGCTAGGAATGGAACCAATTGCCACAATTTACAAGTGTTACATATTATTTTACTGAGAAGAGCAACCCTCTATGATTAATGCTTGTTTAAGGCATGATTTGCTTTTCATTTTCGTTTTGCCTTTTTTTGGCACTTTAGATCTTTTGCAGTATAAAACAATTGCGTCGTACGTTTACCATATATCCCATTTCCTAATCAGACTATTGTAAAACAAAATTTGATATTAAAAACGGATTATGGTAAAGTGTGGTATTGGTATTGAGAGACTTCATGCATGAGGAGGGGAAGAATGTGGTATTGGTGTTTTTCTTTAAATGAACAACAGATATAGGAATACCATGAGAACTCCCTTTTCAAGATTTTTCTTTAAAAGGACAATATATAATAACATAAACTTCCTTCCAATTTTGGGATTGAATTCTCAGTCTAGTGGTGGTGTAAAGTGACATATATACCATGTTCAAATCTTCATGTGCTAGCAAGAAAAAGAAAAAAGAAGACTTTCTACCATGATAGCATTATAGTAACCAACTCAAAACTACATTTGACAATAGGTAGACAAGTCCAGTACATTATATAATGCAAGACCACAGTTTTATAGATACCGGATGGAGTGAGAATATGAAGAGATGTCACACATTGTCACGTTGCCAATTGATTTTGAGGTAGACTTCAAACCAAAAGCCACATTTCCTTCATAGTATTAAAGCGGTTTTGCCCACGTGTAAAGCATAACGGGCGTATACCCTCAAACCAAAAGCCAACAAAAAAAGTACGGTACTAAAAACCAGTTGAACTGATTCCTTCACAATGTTTCATCTAATTCTCATTGGTGGTTTTTAAATACTAGTGTCATCCAAATGGGTAACTCAATCCAATGGGCCAGTTCTTGAGCAGATAAGGTAGCCCCTGTGCCCAGTTACTGTCCACAGCATGATCAAGTTGCAGAGTATATTTATTATTGTACCACAAAGATGGGATTTGATTTCCAATGGTTAAGTGAAGCCATGGCCATCCATATTGGTACCCGTACACAGTTCTAGTTCTTTTCTTGTCAGCATACATCAATTCAAACGAAAGGGGAAATCTTAATATCTTGGCAGTTTAGGGTTTACGTGGTTAATCTAGGGTGGGGTGGGGTGGGGTGGGGGCTAATTGAAGTCTAAAACTGAATAGGAAATTAATTAAGCAAAACCAGGTGCTGGGATTTTGAGCTTCTGTGGGCTTCAACTTTAATAGTAAGGGAGGCAAGTGGTGGTGCTATAATTAATTATGGTAGATATAGAATATAGTAGGTATGTGATATTTGAATGGTGGATCTATAGTTTTATTTTTTAAGCAAACTTGGGCACCCTTTTTTTCTCACCCATTGATTGCTATCTTTCTGTCTTGTTTGATATTTCACCAAAATAAATAAATGCAGAGACTTGGGTTTCCAGTTTCCAGCTTGTAATGCTATCCACAGCACCAACCACCCCACAAAGATTTTGACAAGACATTTCTGTGCTGGAAAAAAAAATATGTTTAATATTGACTAGTAATTTAATTGGTGTTGCATGAAGGAAAACTACTCGACAAGCAAAGGTAATCCAAAGACAGAAGAACTTTGATGAACATCCACTACATGTGGTCTGTCTGTGATAATTAACTTTATTTGTGGAGAAACAAGGAAAAACGAAAGTGTAATTTCCGCTCGTGTTTAATTTGTTTTGCACAATAAAGAGCACTCAATTTGTCAACCAAAAATACAAAGAAATAAAATTACAATCATCATGTCACATAAATTTGTTTTTAATGCAAACGGTAGTCTAAACTGCAAGGAGAGAGGTATTTCTCACACATATACTACCATGGTGTTATGGGAGTTCGAATTTGAGATCACTGATCTGCAAATCAAGGCCATTTTCCACTGACCCATGTCAAACACTCTTAATAATCTATACTATAATAATGAAAAATATATGATCCTTTAACCTTAAATAGGTATAATAGACCCCCATTTTTCAATCACCAATTTACCTTACTTTCAAGTCCCATGTGCTGAATTAGATAAGACATCTACAATTGGGCTCTAAATGGACTCTACCACCATGGGTGATCACATTTTAGAGACTCAGTTGGGATGTTAGGACATCTACAATGGGGCTCTAAATGGGCTCTTCCATCATGGTTGCTCACATTTTAGAGACTCAATTGGGATCTATGCCCATTTGAGCCTCTTAAAAATTCTCACAAGCTCAAGAGTGGGTTTCCACAGGAAGAGAAATTCACATGTGTGGGTGCACCCGCATAAAATCAGGCATGGCCGATCCATTGATTTTGGAGGCCCTCTACAAAGGGAGATGTTGAGGACCTATACATACAAGTAAAAAAATACTCGTAATCAATAAATTGAACCAAACACATCCTTAGTGACATCAATTGCACCGCAATACATAAATAGAACCAATTCCATCCTTTAACTGCATCAACTAAATTTATTTTCTCATCGGTGTTCCAAGGATTACATATAAACCCATGTGATGCAACAAGTATAATGATAGTGCCAGTGGGGGAATACTGGGTGGTTGTCATGCCCAAAGCTCCATTGATTAATGAGCTACCTAGACCCCCTGACCAAGCTAAACAAGTCCATGTGGTATGGAAAAAACCTCGGCATTGTTTTGTGAAAGCAAATTGTGATGGGGCTTGGGTGGCGCAGACAAATATGGGAGGTTTTGGGTGGGTGATTCATTGTAGGTTGGATGATGCAAGCAGGAGTTCAAGGAGACATGCAGTATGGGTCTGCTCTCGTCGTTGAAGTAGATGATATCCGTGCAGTGTTGATTGCTTGCCAGCAAGGGAGGTTTTGCTCGTGTCATGGTGGAATCTGATTCTCTAACTGCCATTCAGATGGTGAACGGGGAAAGACTAGTGGATGTGGAGGTGGATGGTCTGCTTTTCGACATCCAGGCTGTGACTAGAGAACTTCAAGAAGTGATTTTTATTCATGCCCTTCGCAGTTGTAATAAAACATCTCATGAAGTTGCATCTTTTGTATGTAAGAACAGTGGTATCCACCATTGGGATTTTGTTCCTCCTAAATGGCTTTTTAATACCTTTGCTTTTGAAGCCAATGTAAGCTTTTGGTTATAATAATATTAGTTCTTTTTCTGGAAAAAAAAAATAGCTCACTCAAATTTCTTTTACATTAAAAAAAAAATATTGACAGTTCAAAAACTAACAAAAAACAGCAAAATGAAGCAACAAACACAAATTAGTAGTGTGTTTATAAGATTATATTTGTACTTTCATTTGTTTATAAGATTGAGTTAGGGAATTGAAAACAAAAAGAGGCCCATTTTCTTGTTTTCTTTTGTGAAAAGGCCTTTTTTATATTCAAAAAGTAAAGTTTAGATATGTAAAGGGCCTCTTTTAGTTTCTTTTATAACTGGGCCTCTTTTAATTTGGAAGCTCCAAATTTTTGGGGGCCCTGTGCAGTCACCCAGCCTGCACAAGCTATGGGCCGGGCCTGAAATCAGGCCAAAACACATGAACACGATGTTGGACTATATACTCGCACAACAATAGTGATAGATACATGCACGCTCATCAACCGCGCCAGAAATTCTGTTTAGTTGCTAAATGAGTCTCTACAAGTGGTGGGAGCACCCCAAATTTAGAGCCCTCCATTGTTGATGCTCTTAAAGTCGCTTAACGCAAACCCTCATATGTCATCATATGTTTAGTTTAAATGGATTCTATGGACGCCCAAGGACTTACTTAAAAACACTTATCAAAGTCGTCTAGCCCAGTAGAAAAGGTCTTAATTTGCAGACTTGTTGTCTCATGTTCGAATATCATAACACATTAGTAGTGTGTGTGAGAAACTCTCTCTCTTATAGTTTAGACTACCGTCCATATTTATAAATAAAAAACACCCATCAATAATTTTTATTTATTTATTGATAAACCATGCACCTATATAAAATTACTACACGACTAATTGACACCCAAATTGAACGCCCACACCACCAAACTCATCAAACTTTCCCTTATGAAATGTTGAAAAAGATCAAGGATAATGTGATTTTATTGGGACCCTTTTTTTTGGAGACCTAAAAGCATCCACAATGGGCTCCCTAAACCACCTCCTTAGACAAATTTCCACCTCCTAAAATAGGGAGTCCTCTAAGAGCTCCTAAATCTGAGGAGAGAGAAAGCACTCTTAGTGGCTCCCTATAATTTAATACTGCTTTATTTAATGAGTATTTCAAACTTTTATTTAATGCTAACTATTTTATTTTATTTTATATTTTATTTTTTAATAGAGATGGACCAATTAAAAAAGAGTTATAGTATTTATGACTCTGTAAATTAGGGAGTATGGTTGAAGTTGAAATTTGTTAGAGAGCTCCTAAAATAGCTTTCTTATATTCTTAGTCAAATTTTAGCTAAGAAATAGAGAGCATCACTGTAGATGCTTTAACATCGAATTTTTTTTCCCAAATTTATGCAAATGGTCCAATTTCCCAAAAAATTAATTAATTATACTTTATTTAGGAGATATTTTTGTGATACTTGTAGTTTATTTTTGGTATCCAGAGAAAACTTCACACCTTTTATCATGGTGCTTGAAGAAACCCGAAACGGACGCCAAAACAAGTTTTCAATTTTATTTGAGTTCACCCATAGATCCGACAAAACGTAAAACATAACTTCCTTTTAATTTCTTTCGTCTTCCCGTTCTGCTTTCAGCCATTAACGACCAGTCGAAGCTGAATCTGTGGTGCAGTGTTTAAGAAGCAAAATTCGCATATAAAAAAATCCACGAAAGGTACGTAATATCTCGACTATCTTATCACTTATAATTATTTTTTATTAAAAGTATAAGACTGCTGTTCAATTTTTTCTCCTTCTTTATGGAATACGAAAAGAAAAGAGAAGTTACCATTTTTTCCCCTGGAATTGGATTTTATGTTGTGTCCGTTTAGGAGTGTAGGGTATTAATTTTTAATATTTGTACAGAATTAAAATTTGACATGTAGAATGCTATTTTCATATTGGTACCTTTGTTAGCGACTGTGAATTCAGAATAAAGTTTTTTTTTTTGCTGGAAAATTCAGAATAAAGTTTCTGTTTTTCAGTTAAGTTTGTGGGCCATAGCTTTTTTTTTTTTTTTTTTCTTTCACAAATGCTGAGATGGTATGGGGCACCATAGGGTCTCAAATTTAGTTGCTTCAATCTTTTTGTTTAAATTATTGTTCTTTTGGTTTTTCGTTAAGTTATAATTGTCTTTGCGATGATGGGTATCAAAAACTGCAGCAAAACTGTTTCACTTGTATATGGGCTGTGATGGGATGTCTTGGGCTCCCATAGAATGATGTGAATATGGAGCATGGCTTTATCTGTGGTATTTAGTAGTATGTTGGAAATGGTTTTCTAGTTTTGGAGTGTTATCATTGAAAGAAGTTGGCATGTAGAGAATTTAGGGGGTTGTATTTGATTCGTATTGAAAGAATTCAGAAGTTGTAAGTATGGCTACTTTTATGGTTACTGGAAAAAAGTTACGAATGATGCGTCTGCAGGTGAATATATAAATTGTACTTAGTTGTGAATTCTTGTACTTACAGTTATGTAGGGCATAGAGTGGGAAAATTAAGGGTTGACAAGAGCTGCATGAGACTGGTGAGGGATAAAGAAAATTTAGTTTCTGTGTAGTTATGCTCCAAAAATGGTTCCAAATTGCAATTACTACATCATTCTAGCTGTGAAAATGTGTCCTGATTCTCGTGCGTATAATTTGAGTTGTAGTGCTGTTTGGCTTGAATTGGAAAAGTGTTGCATATTGATGTTTGTCGTTACCATGATTAATTTTTTGCATTCTAATGGATTAGTTACGTTTTAATATTTTTCACAATGCTAACTTGTTCTAGATGGCATGTTTAGCTTCAATTATATTAGAAAAGGTTCCTTTACAATGGTAATCTTTTGTTCACTTTCTTTTGGAGTGAAGGTGTGGACTTAAGAGGGGAATTGAGACCCCCACCAATTTCTATTAGTTGTAACAAGGAATTGCTCATTTCAATTCTAAATCTAATGGAATTGCGCTTTACAAAATGATAGTTTACAAGTAGCAGTTTTAATTGGTTTAAAATTAAATATGATTCAGTTTTGCCTCAAAATTTATACATGGGAGTTGAATATGATTTCTTTCAGTTGTATGCACAGATGTATGTTATGCTTATTACTTATTATGATTGAATAAATTGCAGGGATACTGGTTTTACCAGAGAGCACATGGAAAACATGGATGATTCAACATTGGCCAGAGAATCAGACCTTAACTTTGCAGTTGATAACATAGAAAAGGCTTATCGTTATGCTGATGAAAAGAGATTTGAAAGAAGGGATTGTTTCAATGAGGATCTGAACCAACATGAGCAACAGAGTCCCCCCTCAATCCATGCAGATGTAGATTTCAAATATGAAATTTCAGAATCTCTTCCAGAAAAATCTTACCCTGTCCCAACTGAATCTGATCAAGACAGTGCTATTGAAACAAAATTTGTCCATGAGCAAGAGAGGACTGAGTCTCCATTCAAGGACAATAACCATTACCAAGGTGAGATGGATCAGTTGCATGGCAGTAATTTTCTTAACCCATCCTCTCAATCTAAGTCGCAAACTTTCCATAATGAAATGGGAACTGAAGATTCTGCTCATTCACAGGACTCTCCTCTGACAGAACGTGCAAACCAGGGAGTGGGAGAGGATGATTCTAACGTGGGTATGCCTACTGCTGTACCTCCTGCTGGAAGAGCGAAAATGATTTATTCCGAGAGGTCACAATATGAATCAGTTAAGTCTTCCATTCATGAAGTTGAAAGGGAAGCTAGTGATCAATGGAAAGAGCAATTGTTATCATCTCCTAAGTTGCACAGGTGGGATAATGAAAATCAGAAAGATGAGTCGCCAGGTCAGAACAATAACCCAGGCATCGGCAGTTCTGATATTCAATCTCTCGGAAGAATCATCAGAGGATCAATATCTCCTAGAATAAAAAGACAAATGTCACTTTCACCTGAAGACTCTCCTTCATCATGCCACTCGCCCAATAACCATGAGCATTTGCCTTCTCATCAAGGTTCTCAAGACCAGTCACTTGCACCAAGATCACATAGCCAGCATATTTCTTCACCTGATCATTATCTCCCGCCTACACAGGGCATTCTACAATTTTCCCACCCTAGGGATGGTTCTGCTCTGAAGCACATACCTGCATCTCCAAGGTTGCATGGGTCACCCCCAAGGTCGCATGGCTCACCCCCAATGTCGTATCGCTCACCCCCAAGGTCCCATCGCTCACCCCAAAGGTCCCATCGCTCACCTCCAAGGTCCCATCGCTCACCCCCAAGGTCCCATCATTCACAATCAAATTATGGGAGAAGGGACAGATTGGAGTCACGATCACCCATTCGGCATAGAGATTCTTATGGTTACCAGAGGGCATATCGTGAGAGATCTCGATCAAGGTCCCCATGTTCAAGAGCTCATCATAGATCGACAAGGTTAACTTCTATAGCCTCTCTGTTATCTTATGTTAAAATTCTACTAGTATCATTTTCAAGTGGCAACAATTTAATAATTTGAACAAGTTGTAAGACATCTGAAAGTGAAAGTTTTGGTTTATGGATTTCATTTGGTACTCTTATCCTCTCCAATGACCAACTCAGCAGTTAGAAAACTGCATTTTTGAAACACCCATGTTATCTGTCCAAATTACTGAAAATATGATTGTAACACATCAAACCTTCATCAAACATCATATATGGTGGGAACTAGCTCTCTATGAACAATTTTTCTTGTTCTTGTGAAATATGTCAAAAAGATTCCTTATCCCTAATTCATATGCATTACCGTTAACTCAGGATTCTATACATTGAATAGTGCAAGGTTTTAAAATTAAATGGATATGTAGCTTAATGAGTGGACCTTTCACTCTTTGGTTGTGGCAAAGGTCTTTATCTGTCCATCTATCCATCTATCTGTCTGTCTCTGTCTCTTTATCACCTAGTTTGGCCCCCTAATATTTTGTCCTTTAACTTATAATAGGGGAAGGCATTCTCCAATGCAAAGGTCCCCTTCTCCAGAGAATCATTCTCGTCACCAATCTCCTAGAAGGAAACCATGGTCACCACCGCCTAATAGGAAAACTGGATTAGGGAAACCTGGAAGAAATTTATTTGTTGCAGGTTTTAGCTTTTTGACTACAGAGAGAGATCTGGAAAGGAAGTTTTCTAGGTATGGCCGAGTACGAGATGTTCGTATTGTTAGAGACAAAAGGTAATTGCGCAGTTTATAGTTGCATACGATAACAATGAGGTGTTTGACATTGATACTTGATGATGCATTCTTTTGCTTTCTTCTTTGAGTTGAGTTTTTTTATGCATATTATGTTGTTCTTCTTAGGTCTGGAGATTCACGTGGATTCGGATTCTTGACCTTGGAAAGGGATGTAGATGCCGATGCAGCAATCAGAGCTCTAGATGAGACTGAGTGGAATGGTCGGATTATTCTTGTGGAGAAATCCAAAACTTGAGAGGGCATGAAACTCAGCTTTATCACAGCTCTTTTCAGTTGGTTAATTTTCCTTTTTGAAGTCAGTTCTGCCCATCACAATGTTCTTCAAAATTTATCACACATCAAATACACCTCAGAAAAAAAAAAGCTTTTTTCTCTTCATTTTTCTGGTGCTCTCTTTATTTCTATATTACTTCAATGGATCAATGTTTCCCCCATTTCATCTCCTTTGTGGAGATTAAATGGGTCAAAGATTCAAACAAACCAGTTGGTCTGAATAAGTTTAAACTTGAATGTAAACAAATTAATCAGATTCAACGTTTCTACGTATTTTAAAAGATTTAACTACTTTAAGTGATTTCCAAGAAGGAAAACACTTGCCTCCCTTCCTGGATGTAAGAACTCTTACTTTCCTATTAATCACAATTTGACATGTGTGTTGAGATTCTTCTTTTTGTGTTTTTGATGAATTATTTTTGCATGTATCAAACTTTGATTTGAGAGAAGTAGGAATGTCTCCTTCCAGATAAGGAGAGACGTAGTGTCCTTCCCAAAATCACCTAAAGTGATTACGTGAAGAAACACGTAGGAGATGCTTTTCTCCATAACTGATTTTAGCCCTCCCAAAATCACTCTCTAACGAGCCCTTAATCTCTGGTGGTGAAAACAAATAAATACAGAGGTGGGGGTGATTATTATGGTTGGTACAAGCTTGGCCATCTTGGCGATTAAAATATGGAAGATTAGAGACAATGATTATTTGTCTCAGTGGATCGGGCATGATCAGTTGGCAACTTTCGGGTTGGGACTTGACCAAAGCAAATGAATAAATCACGTTTAACGTAGTGCTCACGAACTTCTCAACGAAAATAATTAGTGCTAAGTGCTAACTAATCATGTTAATCATTATTCAATATGTTGTGGCCTAACACGTTATACATGAAAAATGCTTGCTTTTAAAGTATTGGTAAACCAACTTTTGATCTAATAGTATTGTTCTTCACCTTATTAGTTAATATCTTAATTAAGTTCGACTCATATGAATGCAAGATCGATTCTTTTGTAGGTATCATGTGGGAAATATGGGAAGCAATCACAAAATCAAAAGCCGAAAAGGTCTACTTTCTTAATTTTTGTTATGTATATTGGAAACAAAAACCTCTCAACCCTATATAAATCCAACTTTAGAAAAAGCACAGAATGACGTGCTACAAGACATGATAATGAGATAAAGTTGCATGAGAAACACACAAGGCCTTAGGGCCTGAGGCAGTTGCTGCTGAGCTACAGAATTTTTGCTTGCAAGCTACATTACTGTTAGCTTTTGTTGCTTCTGAAAACTTCTTAGGGTTTTTACTCAAACCTTGGATCTTTATGCGAGCAAAACTCAATAATAAGCCCAACATCAGCACACCCAATACCTTTTCCCACACATTATCTATTCCCACGAGAAAAATATTTGGCAGGCACTTATGTGTGTGAATGATTCTCAATCGTTGATATTGGTAACGATCGCTAATTTAATATATATTAACGGTTAGTAGGCTTTGGCAGTTACATATGTGGCGATCGTCCTAAGCATCTCATTCCCACAACAACTATGTTTCTATGAAACTCACACTCCTTTTTTTATATTTATTTTTGGTGATGCTTCTAAGAGAGAGAGGGACTTTCCTTCGTTTCTGGGGTTTGGGCATGGCAAACTGGGTCATTGCTTCAAAGCGTGTGGAAGCACAAGCACATAGCATTCAAAAACGCGTACTTGCAATTTGCAAACGTCCAGTTTCCTTTCAAAGTCGCAATTATTTAACGAGTTGTTCAGCAGAGTTGGTAGAGAAAAACCCATGCGTGGTCCCGCTACCGTGTACCGATGCACACGTTTTCTGTTTCCCGTTTCTTATCCGAATCACGACAAATACCCATGTGGCCACGTGTCCAATCTAATATAAGAAAAAAAGAATGCTAACAACATTCTCTCTGACCTGCTTCTTTGGACATTCTTCCTTTTCCTAATAACATGTAACTCTTCTCTCTCACTCAAAACAATGTTTTTAATTTTTAAAAAACATTAAATTGTATTTCCATATATACCCTTGACAGAAAACTAAAAAGTCAAAAATCCTTTGAGTTTTCACAGCCCGATCCCAAAACACAGCCCGACCCCTCTCTCTCTCTCTCTCTCTCTCTCTCTCATTTGTGCAATGAGAAAAAAAAATCCAATATTTTTTCTCTCTCTAACCTCTACAGACCCTTTGCTTCCCAAATCATGAAAGTTCAAACACTTCTTTTTTTATGGGGGGAACCAAATAAAAATAGAAAATAGTGCTTTGGTGGTGAGATTTGAGAAATAAAATAAAAAATTGTTCAATTACAGACAACAGAGAAAGCGAAGGAGGTGGGAAGGTGGGGGGCTGTTGGGTAGGGATGAGAGAGATGTTTGGTCGTAATGAGGGAGGAGAGGAAGTGGGTTTCTTTCATATGCTTATTTGGGTACTGGTCATGGGTCATTGCTGGGATTTTTTTTCTCATTGCACAAATGAGAGAGAGAGAGAGAGAGAGAGAGAGAGAGAGAGGAAGCAAAGGGTCTGTTCGGCTGTGAAAACTCAAAGGATTTTTGACTTTTTAGTTTCTGTCAAGGGTATATATGGAAATACAATTTAATGTTTTTTTAAAATTAAAAACATTGTTTGAGTGAGAGAGAAGTGTCACATGTCATTAGGAAAAGGGAGAAGGTCCAAATGAGAAGGTTAGAGAGAAGGTTGCTAGCATTCCCCTATAAGAAAGGAACGTGTGAGATATGAATATCACTGTTTTGCTATCTCAATCAACCACATACTGACACGTAAAAAAATTATCACGCATGATATGCCGTGATTAGTTGAGAATAACATTGTTTTGCTATCCTCTTTCACACAAGTGTTTCTCTGTACTCGCTACATCTTTTTTGCGTGATACATGCTCCATTTGAGTCCCACTTATTTTCAGTCCCTAAATTGATCGGATGGCTTGAGAATTCCCATGTTCATGACCATGTTTAACCTTGTGATGCACAATTCCCATTTTTGCATTTTGGGTATTAAGGATGAAGAAGTTTATTATACGGAAAATATTTGTCTCTTTTCTCGTCTGTGAGTCACAGTTTAACACGAATGTATACATTTTTTATTTTTATTTTTTAAATTATTTTGTATATGTGTCAAATTATGATATGCATAAATAAGAGAAATGTCTTTCCACTAATATTTTGTGTCCATAGTAAATTATCACACTCCAACAACCACTCTATGATTACTCATCTTCTTGAGTCGTCATACATAAACCAATTAACTATTAGTCTAGCGATAATTTTGTCCATTTTGTTCGAATAAGTTTAAAATTAAATCCCCCTTCTCTATTATCCAAAGAAGAAAAAAAAAATCTACTACCTTACTTTGCATTTGTCAGATTATATTATATGGTAGTTAAAATTTAATTTTTTTAAATTCCTCTAATATTATGGTATAGACAATCTCTTCATAAAAGCATAAAACAATGGGCCAAAAAGAGCAACCATGATTGAATTAGCATCAAGAGTTCCCTTGACACTTTGATATTAATGAATTTGGTCATCATAGACTTTGTAAATGCAGTCCTTTTCTCCGATGGCTCATTATGGTCTTCTTCTTGATTGGTCTTTGTGTTTTGTGAGTTGATAAATAACAATTTTTATATTCCAGAGGATTCAATTATTTTGGTTATATTTTACAATACATGTGCAAAGTGGGTTTTACTGAAATGTTTAATGCATTTAAAATTGGGGTTAATGGTAGTTTAGTGCCTTCTGTTGATGAATCACATACCATCCAAACCAAACCCATGTTAGATGTATCATTGAATCAAAGTATCAGCCACTCTTCAATGCCTTCCAAGTTCCAAGCCTTCACCATCTGTATCTTATAAACTACTTGAATATTGAGAAAGAAGATATGATAAATAAATTAGTCAACTTCGATTCCTTAGCCAACGTTTAACGAGAAAGACTTTCATAAAACAGAAATAACACTATTTTATTATTTTTAATTAATAATATAATACGCGTAATAATATTTTCGTGGCATAACATTATTGTTCTAGAATAACAACGCATTGTTGTTCCTGTAATTTTTTTTTTTTTTAATTCTTCTGTTTTCATCAGCCCAGTCGCTGTCTCTGTCTCTTCGATGGAATTCGGAAGCCCTGAAATGAATTCGACAATTCCACTTCATTGAATAGTTGACCAAGCTCTTCTTTACCTTGTATTCTACTTTTCTCAAACACCAAAAGTCTGATCCTTTCTCCTTTAAACCCTGTCCAAACTGAAATCCCAAATTCCCTTCTTTATCACATGCTCTGCAATAAATTTCTCCAAATCCTCATCTGCGCTCTCTCTCTCTCTCTCTCTCTCTCTCTCTCTCTCGACCTTTTCCTTAAATTAGCAACTTCTAGTTCAGCTGTTATATAATTTCTGATCCAAATTTTTTTTGCTTTCTCATCCTCTGAAATTTATTATATTTCAGCATAATCTTCATAAGTTCCCATTTGCATTTGGGTCTTTTCCATTCCTAGGAATATTCAACTTCTGTTGTACTTCTGAGTTTCTGATCCAAACCCATTTGCTCTTATTCCTGCAATTTCAGCATAGTTGTATTTGAGCAATAACAACAAATGGGTAAGTGTCTAAGCAAAAGCAAAGATTCAGAGCCACAATATAACGGTTACAGATCAGGAGGGGGGGCTGGGGCACACTACCAGAAACCTCATGAACCTGTTGCTCCCCAACCCAAAGCCTCTGCTCAGCAAGCCCACCACCAGTTACCTGAAAAACGTGGGTCGGCAGCAGCCCATCAAGAACTCCAACCAGCATGGAAGCCATATGTTCCAGTCAAGAGCCCCAAACCAGTATACAGGCCAGACACAATTCTTGGCAAACCATATGAGGATGTTAAGCAGCACTACACTATTGGTAAAGAATTGGGTAGAGGTCAGTTTGGTGTGACTTACCTTTGCACTGAGAATTCAACTGGCAATAAATATGCTTGCAAGTCAATCTCAAAGAGGAAGCTTGTCACCAAGAATGACAAGGAGGATATTAAGAGAGAGATTCAGATTATGCAGCATTTGAGTGGGCA